TGGCATACTTCATTCAACGTCTAATCCTTTGGGTCCAATAACAAATTGGAAGACAAAACCATGTGATCTTGCATTTTGCTAGAATGTGTCACAATCTCTTCACTAAAATTCCTACTATTACCCAATCTTAATGAAATCTTCTTACACCTATATAACGCATCCAATTGTGCAGATATCAAGCACAACTCCTCCACAGCACCTGTCACAAAAACGAAATCCTTTCATATTGCATTTCTTTACCAAAACAAATTAAGTGACCTTACCCTTCATATATACATGGCTATTCGTATGCCTCGGATCATTCAAGCAAAGAAAGTTCTTGGTCGATCATTGTCCAACGGAAGCCGTCCATGGTCATCTACAGAAATCATCCCTAAAGGACATTTTGCAGTTTATGTTGGTAATCAAGAGAAAAGACGATTTGTTGTTCCTTTATCATTATTAAACCAGCCTTCGTTCCAAGACTTGCTACATCAAGCAGAGGAAGAATTTGGATTTGATCATCCAATGGGCGGCCTCACAATTCCGTGTCGTGAGGAAGTGTTCATTGATGTTGCCTGCCGCCTTTGCTCGTTATGATGAAGAGCTAGGCATGCATCGTGTTTGCTAACAGTTTTGTACAGTCAAAATCACCATGATGATTAATAATGTGGTCTCCAAATTAATTGTATGATAACAAAATTTAGTTTCAGCATTAATACATTAATGACGAGCATAGTTCAACTTATGGTGTTCATGTCTATGCAATTAGGGCTTTCTTTATCAATGTCCTCTAAGCCCACCAGAACCACGTACTTACTTTTGTTCTTTAGCTTGTATTTTCAATCTGTTCAAAAAAAGTGTGTATGCCACATCTTTCTCCATATACTGAATGTGACTATAGCTTTAAGGCCTGGATCAGTTGTTTCTTCAACACCACCTACCCAAGAGTTATCAGTTATTGTTCTTTTCCTCTAACCTGTTATGATAGGGACTGATTGGTGAAGAGAAATTGGCCGATGACCAATGATCATCAATTGTTAGCTAAAAATTCATGGTAGGATCACACATGTTAGTGTATGAACTCAAGGGAACGACTTTGTAAAGGGCTTTGCTAATGGCTTTGCTAATGTCTTTCTCCAATGGAAGCCGCTCATCATCATCATCGGTAGACATCATCCCCAAAGGACATTTTGCAGTTTATGTTGGTGATCAAGAAAAAAGACATGTGTTGTTCCTTTATCATTATTAGACCAGGCTTCATTCCAAGATCTGCTACGTCAATCAGAGGAAAATTTTGGTTATGATCATCCAATGGGTGGCCTCACAATTCCATGTCGTGAGGATGTCTTCTTTCAACTTGCATCTGGCCTGATCTGCTCATTATGACCAAGAAGTTTGCATTCAATTTGATAACATATACATAATTTTGTTGAGTAGAAACCACCATGAAACCTAAGTATTTGTAATGCAGTCTCCAAATTGTACGATAACCAACACTAGTTTGACCATTAACATTGCAATGAAGAACATCATTCAAATTTTGGTATATATCCATATGCCACCTTCCTTTATTAATGTACTCTTGTAAGGCGCTTAAAATCACGACCTTCTAACTTTCTACATAGATCTCACAAGTGTTAAAAAATGGTGTTTATTTCACATCTTTTTCTATATAGTTAATACTACATTTCTTCTGCGAGAAGACAGCCACATGACTTCAATCAAGCGCCCATTTTCGCTGAACTGAACACAAAGACTCCTCTAGATAGATAGATATATTGTGCGGCTTCCTCATGTGATCCACATTCCACAATCTCATCGGCACGACATCATCACGACCTTCCAATTCGCGTTATAGGCAGTGACAGGGATTTAATACCATTTTTCACTTAAAATTCGATTCCATCAAAATCAGGCCTTAAACACTTGTATTTCTCCATTTTCTTTGGACTGTAAATATCATATATGATTTTTGTATCTGTTGATGATTAATTTACTTAGCCCATGGTCTTCATGCTTTGGGCTTTCTACAAAAATCTTGGTGATTTTGTCCTAATATCAATATCAGACCTTTGGGTCGTCACTCGGACCTCCAAGTCCCTATCAAACAAGAACTGACATGGAAGTCCTCCTCACAACCCTCAACCTGAGCTCCTAACATCCTAGGACCCTAAACACGAAGACGCCATATGGGATACTAATACAACTTTAACTAAGACAACCACAAAGGAATTCAACAACTAGCGATGACCCCGGCGTGAAAATCAGAAGATTAAGCAATTGCACGCACGTCTTGAAATTGAACAATCCGGTTGAACACCACATTTTGGCACGAAGTCCCTCTGCTATGAAATCTCCACTCTCCCCCACTTGAAATATACCAATCACCTTAATGCAACCCTATACTAGACTAAGGCTCCATATCGAACCAACCGAGGCACTACTTATTCATTCCCTAAGGAAATTACCGAAAAGGAGAAGATATCCATGCGTCTAAGCCACCCTAACAATACCGCCCACCGAAGACCTTGAGACAAGACCAACATAATTTCATGAACATGAAAACATATTTCAAGATATTTCAACACAATTTCTAAAAGAAAAACTTAATTCATAAATGCAAGATATAAATAAATAAATTGAACAAATACCCGCAATTGACATGGTTTCCACTCTTGGATCCTCTATAAGAAACTGGTATGCTCTTTCTTCTGCCCTAGGCACCTCAGTCTTCCCTTGACGTCCATCTGGCATCTGCCATGCCAAAGGTGTTGGATTCTGCACTTCACCAAACACAAGAAGGGGGCAATGAGCTCTAATGTGGCCCTCCTAGTCGTGATAGAAACAAACCCTCCTGCTCTGCTTGCAATCTCTACCGAAATGCCCCTCCTGTAATGTCCCAAAAATTTCAAGAGATTTTTCAATTTTAAAATATAATAACCATTTAAAACCTTTATTTCAAAAACCATTAAGTAACATTCATTTGATTGGAACCATACATTATCAGAGTTAAGTTTACAAAACCGGGGAAGCAAATATGTTCAATGCGTGTGTATAGTCCCGCCGATTTCTCCTCACGAATGGCCTGCAGAAATATTTAATCCATAATTGTAATCATAAGGCTTAGTGAGTTCGCCAGTAAAACAAATATTTCATCATATATACAATGCATCCACACAAGAGTTCAGCTCTAGCGTCGACCTAACAACATGCATATAACATATGTAACATACATACACAACTAACGGGTCTTTTCCAACCATAAGAAAATGCTATGGGTCAAATCATAGTCTTATAGTCACTTCCTGCCATGGGACAAATCCCGCTCTTACATACCTTGCTCTTACATACAAGTGTCAGGGGCCGGATCCTAGTCTTTCCTATAATTTCTAGGGGCCGGATCCTAGTCTTTCCTATAATCACCATGATGATTAATAATGTGGTCTCCAAATTAATTGTATGATAACAAAATTTAGTTTCAGCATTAATACATTAATGACGAGCATAGTTCAACTTATGGTGTTCATGTCTATGCCATTAGGGCTTTCTTTATCAATGTCCTCTAAGCCCACCAGAACCACGTACTTACTTTTGTTCTTTAGCTTGTATTTTCAATCTGTTAAAAAAAAGTGTGTATGCCACATCTTTCTCCATATACTATAGCCTTAAGGCCTGGATCAGTTGTTTCTATAACACCACCTACCCAAGAGCTATCAGTTATTGTTCTTTTCCTCTAACCTGTTATGATAGGGACTGATTGGTGAAGAGAAATCGGCTGATGACCAATGATTAATAGTTAGATAAAAATTCATGGTAGGATCACACATGTTAGTGTATTAACTCAAGGGAACGACTTTGTAAAGGGCATTGTAATGTCTTTCTTGAGGAAGCTCGGAAGTTTAAAGAAAAGAACTCATATTGCGAATACCATGGTACTTAGCTTCTTCTGATGGCAAACTATTAGGCATATTTATATTAGATCATGACCATATTACTAATTAGGAAGGTTTCAATATAAAGTCTAGCTACAACTCTTGTATAGATATCATGAAAACTAAGGAAAAAGGCAAGGCATTGAGTTTCAAATATTATAATCACAAAAGAATTCCAACAGAAACCCCTCTTGGAATATCCTAAACATCATCACATCCTACTTTCTTCCCAAGAGATTTATTCCGCTACAAATCTTAATTACTCAAGCAACATGGCAATCACTAACAACCTACCAAAATAGTTAGAAAGACCCCACAATACATGGACCTATATATATCAAGTTTTCAACATCACAAGTTACTGCTTGTAATCAATAAATTAATAATATAAAAACACAATGGGTCACTTAATTAGTTGATATCAGAGTTACGGAAAAGCAAACAGCCAATCGGCTATCAGTTAAAGTCAAATAGCGGATCCTTTAATTTGTATCGATCATTGATAACAGAACAACCTTCAGAAGATATATATCTGATTTTCTTCGGGAGGGAAAAAGAAAATATTTAAGTGCATACTATGTGTTTAATTCATATATCAGATTAGATATGAGCATTGATTTCTTTTTGGATGTTTTGTTGATTTCAGGACCTGAAATTGTGGACTTGTTGCACTTGAAATAAAGATGCCTAACCTTCTGATATTTTTGACAAACATGGCCATGTGAGAAATAATTAATGATGTGTATCCATAAGACTCACTTGTACATGGGTCCATAGTGTAGCTGAAGCTTGGCCACTCAGTATTACACTGAAATTTTGTTGCATACTTCATTGTACATATATAATTCTTTGGGGCAATAACAAGTTGGAAGACAAAATCATGTGATTTTTCTTTTTGGTAGAATGTGTCACCATCTCTTCTTTGAAATTCCTACTATTAATCGATCTTCATTGAAATCTTCATACACCTATAAAATGGATACAATTGGGATAATATGAAGCACAACTCCTCCCAAAATCCATCATTGCATCTTTCACATAAAAGAAATCCTTTCAGAAGAAAGAGACCGTAGCCTTCATATAAAAATGGCCATTCGTATGCCTCAAATCATTCAGGCCAAAAAGGTTCTCGGTCGATCATTCTCCAATGGAAGCCGCTCATCATCATCATCTGTAGAAATCATCCCCAAAGGACATTTTGCAGTTTATGTTGGTGATCAAGAAAAAAGACGATTTGTTGTTCCTTTATCGTTATTAGACCAGCTTTCATTCCAAGATCTGCTACGTCAATCAGTGGAGGAATTTGGTTATGATCATCCAATGGGTGGCCTCACAATTCCTTGTCGTGAGGATGTCTTCATTCAACTTGCATCTGGCCTGATCTGCTCATTATGACCCAGAATTTTGCATTGTATTTGTTAACATATACATAATTTTATACAGTAGAAACCACCATGAAACCTAAGTATTTGTAAAGCAGTCTCCAAATTATACGATAACCAACACTATTTTGACTATTAACATATCAATGAAGAACTTCATTTTGATAGCTTATTTTATTTCCTTATTTTTATTAGTTTATTTTAGATTTTTTAGCTCTTTTTATTAGTATTGCATTGTATATTCTTTATTTTCTTTAGTATGGATCGTACCGGGTGCTTTTTATGTTGCATGAGGAATTTTGCAGGGTTTTGGAGCTTATTGCGATTGTGGATTACAGTGAAGACGGATTTGTGGGCTCTCGAGGCGCTATTGGGCTTGGCGGATCGATAAGAGAAGAATTGGGCCTTAAAGAATTGAAGGCTTGGATGAAGTGGACTTGTGAAGATGGATCATGGATAATTAATTTGGGTTTGGAGCATCCACATTTGAAGCTAAAAGATAATTGGTTGATTTAAATCTCATGGATATGGAGGGGACCAAAGGAATCTTTGGTAGTGGAAGGGTGGAGTGGTGGAATGAAGGACCAATAGCATCACAGCAACATTTGCGCGGGTGGAATTTTCGTCGCGCGGGTACCCGCACAACTGCCCATTTTGGGCATTTTGGTCATTTGGCTTGCCATAACCTTGGGGGATCAGATCTAACAGCCATAACTTTGATTTGACACCATTGGAGAGCCGAGAGAGGCGATTTTTGAAGCTCAAGACTCATTTCTCTTCATCTTTCCAAGATTTTTGGTAGTTTCTTTATGCAATGAGACTTTTGTGATTGTTGTTCTATTGCCATGAGTGGCTAAACTCTTTATATTGGTTAACTTTGGTTAAAACCTTTAAATTTTTGTGGGTTTTTGAAGGATTCATGCTAGATTATCAATTATCTTATGTTTATGGTTCTAGATCATATTTCTTATGCTTGTTTAATGCTTTGATCATGAGCTTGGCACTTGAATGAGCTATTGTTGGTTTATTTCTTTGGTTTTGCATTGAATCATTGAATTAACTTAGAACAAGGGCTTTATGATGGTAAAAATCATCTCTAGTTTATGAATCATAGCTCCTTTATGGATGTGTAAGCATTGACATCCTCTAGGAATTGGGGATTCCTTCTCTCTTAAGGCTAATTAACTTCTTGGGTTCAATTGCTTCAATTCAACCCTTGATCTTGATTAAGAAGGTGTGTTGTGGGCTTCCCCAACCTCCATACTACCTAAGAGGAATCTTGGCATATCATGCTTCATGATTGCTATAACCAATTTGGAATGAATGATAAGCTTCATGTTGGATCCTAATGATAAGCACACAAATGTTCATTGTGTTGAATTGCCTTGGTTAACCAATTGTTCCCAACATTTGAGCATCTCACTATCTTGCTTAATTGCAAGTCTTTAGTTATTCAAGTCTTTTAGTTTTCAAGCAATCATAACACCCCCCCTTTTAGTTTAATTGTAGTTAGTTAGTTTATTTACAATAGTTCTTTTAGATTGCATTGGTGATTGAATACAACCATTTCCCCGAGGATCGATACCCCTTTTTACCATTATATTACGTTTTATTTGCAAACAAAGGGTGTAATTTGCTTGGTGGACTTGACATCCCACCAAGTTTTGGCGCCGTTGCCGGGGAACTTGGTTATTGTTATTTGATTGTTTATGCCTAGGTCTACAAGAACCGGTGAACTACTCTACAATCCGGAAATTGAAAAAGAAGCAAAAAGGTTGAAAAAGTTAGCTAAACAAGCAAAGCAACAACAACTAGTTCAAGCTTCTTCATCTTCTCCACTAATCAACATAGAAGATCAAGTTCATACTTCAAGTGATACCGACACCGAGCCGAGTTCTCCAATTGTTGGTCATTCCTTTGAAGATATTCCGTTTGAAAACTACATAGCCATGAATCACACTCCACCTCACAATCCCAACCCAAACAATCAAGATGCCAATACACCACCCCAACAACCAAGACAACAACAAGAACCTCTCATTGATATGCCACCTTGGAATCAAGCCCCTCCTCAAAACCAACCCAATTATCAACAACCACAAAACCAACAATTCCACCAAAACAACCAACCTCAAAACAATGCTTTTCAAGTTCAACAACGAGTACATTACCCAAATCAACCCAATTACCAACACCCTCCAATGTATCAAAACCCAATGTACCCCCAACAACAACCTCCCTACAACCAATACCCTAACTACCAACCTTATCCACCACCGATCTACAATCCCCAACACTACCCATACCCACCTTACCAACAACCACCCAATTACTTGCAACATTATCCCAATAACCCCAATCCACCCAACCCCCCTCAAGAGTTGACACTTCGACAAATGATGAAGACAGATGTTACTCACACACCTCTTGGTATTGTTTATCCCGCAAACCGCCGAGGGATTGAATTGAAGTCAAGTTTCATACATCAACTCACCAAGTTCCATGGTTTGGATAGAGAAGATCCTCAAAGGCATTTGAAGTCCTTTCACATGATATGTGTTAGCATGTTGCCCGAAAATGTGACATTGGATGATTTCAAGCTAACCGCCTTCCCGCTCACCTTGGAAGATAAAGCTAGAGAGTGGTTATTCAACTTACCACCGAGATCTATCCACACATGGGAAGAGTTACTCAAGGCCTTCAATAGCAAGTTCTATCCCACCTCCCGAATTTCAAGCCAAAGAAGTGACATTTTGGGGATTCGTCAAGGGGAGAATGAGACTTTTCATGATTTTTGGGAGCGATTCAACAACTTATGTACAAGTTGTCCTCAACACAACATTCCCGAACAACTACTTCTTCAACAATTTTATGAGGGTATGAATGAAAAAGATCGAAGGATGATTGATGCTTCAAGTGGTGGTGACATCTTCAACAAAACCCCTCAAGAGATAAGATCACTTTTTGGAACCATTTCTCAAAATCAAAGGAACTTTGGGACTCGGAATGAAATGAAGAGAAATTCTCCACAAGTGGTTGGTGAAGTTAGCAACACTCAACACTTGGAATCAAAGCTCTTGGATTTGACTAATGTGCTAAGTCAAATGGTGGTGGGAAGTGGTCAACAATTGATGGTATGCGGTATTTGTGCCATGACGGGGAATTATACAGATAAATGCCCCATACTTGGAAGTGAACCGGAGGATGTGAATGCAATGGGCGGATATCAAGGTCAACCAAGACCCACGGGATTTCAAAACAATTTCAACCCAAATTGGAGGAATAACCCAAACAATCCATACCCACCAAAGCAAAATCCACCAAACATTTTGATGAGACCTCAACATCCGCAATATCCATCACAAAAACCTCCATATCCACAAACATCTCACCTCCCTCCAAATTACCAACAACCTCATCAACAAGGCCAATCAAGTGGTACCCACCAAATGAGCCTTCAAAAACTTGTCACTTCTCTTGCTCAAAGCCAAACCCAATTTCAACAAGAGACCAAGAACACTTTCTCAAACATTCAAGCACAAATTGGAGACTTGGCCACCGCTCTCAACAAGATGGAACAAATGGGAAAACTTCCATCTCAAACCGAGAAGAATCCCAATGTGAGTGCCATAACCTTAAGAAGTGGGAAAACCCTTGGAGAAAGCAACCCCAAAAGAGTTTCAAGAGAAGAAGAAGATGAAGTTATCATTGTTGATCCCCCGAAGGTTGTAGTTCCTCCAAAGGAACCGGTTGTTCCAAACATTGATCAACCCGACTCTTCCAACAAGAACATCAAGCCATTGGTCATACCACCACCTTTCCCATCTCGGTTGGCTTCCTCAAAGAAACAAGAGGAAGAAAAAGAATTTCTTGAGACTTTCCGCAAAGTTCAAATCAACATTTCACTATTGGATGCCATAGAGCAAATTCCGCGCTATGCCTAATTTCTTAAGGATTTGTGCACTAATAAGAGGAAGTTTAAGGCGAATGAAAAGATCCAAGTCAATGCCAATGTGTCCGCGGTTATCCAAAAGAAGCTTCCACCCAAATGCAAAGGATCCGGGCATGTTTGCTATTCCTTGTACCATTGGTGACTTACATGTTGAAAGTGCCATGTTAGGTCTTGGAGCCTCAATCAATGTAATGCCTTACTCGGTTTTTCAATCTCTTAATGTTGGACCTTTGGAAGAAACCGGAGTCATCATTCAATTAGCGGACAAGTCAAGTGTATTTCCAAGAGGCGTGTTGGAGGATGTACTAGTTCAAGTCAATCAACTAGTATTTCCCGCGGACTTCTATGTCATTGACCTTGAAGAGAAGACCCCTTCCAAGTCATCTATGATCCTTCTTGGAAGACCTTTCATGAATACCGCTCACACAATTATTGATGTCCATAATGGGAAGATCACAATGGAATTTGATGGAGAGATCATTCATTTCAACATCTTTGAAGCCATGAGATACCCTAGCAACATTTCTCCTTTATATCGGGTTGATGTGATTGAACCAATCACCCAAGAATTATTCGAGTTATCACATGGGGATCTTTTGAAGATGGTGCTCAACATGAGTTTTGATGTTGAAAGTTTGAAGAAAACATTGGACATGTATACATTGGACTCCGAAGTTGAAGAGATTGTGAAGACTTTAGAACTTAACAACTCAACAAAAAAGGATGTTTCTCAAGTTGCCTTATCTCATTCTCCAAACAAGATGCCACCTTCCATAATCCACCCACCCACACTTGAATTGAAAGTCTTACCTAGCCATTTGAAATATGCTTATCTAGGTCAAGATGAAACTCTATCGGTGATCATCTCTTCTCAATTAAAAGACTTTGAAGAAAACCAATTGATTGAAGTCTTGAAAGATCATAAAGAGGCCATGGGGTGGACAATAGCAGACATTAAGGGAATAAGCCCTAATGTATGCACTCACAAGATACTCATGGAAGACGATTGTAAGCCTAGGAGGGAAGCTCAAAGACGATTAAATCCTCCCATGATGGAAGTT